ACTACACTGGTGTCCCATCTGGCTTATGCTCCTCTTTTTAATGCTTTTAGGTAACTGGTATGTAATATTTTAAAATACTTCTTTAGAGAAATGTATGAAGTCTTGAAGAAGGCACATCTCCAACATTTTGTTCTTTGTCAAGCCAAGGGCACTGAGACAGAATAAACATTGGCGATTTTGGAGCAGTTTGGATGCTGATTATGTGTAATGTGTACGTAAGAATACTTAAAGATTAATTTCTAGAGAGGTACCATCCAGAAGGCTGAATACATGTGTACATATAAATATGTTTGTGTGTATCTATAGTTACAGCTGTTTCCCGTTATAGAACAGCTTGCTGCCAACCAACCAGCTCTTCATTGTGACGGGGCCTTTTTAATAGCCTTCTAACTTCTCTCTTGCCTAACTTAAAATGCATTTTTCACACTGTAGTTACAACTCATAGATCTACAACGAAACCAGACCTGGTCCAATGAGCAGAACCAGCTTGAGTACAGCCAAATAAGAGAATCCCCAGATACTAGCGCTCATCCAGGATGGCCTTTGGCTTCCTCCGCCCCTTGCGAAGGTTTAAAGTCTGTGCCACCGCAAGCCCTTCGGAGAGAAAGTCGCCTCCTCCCCGCAAGGGTCGGCGCGCGTCGGGTAGCCCGGCGAAATCCGAAGAAGCCCCAGCATCCTGAAGCTTAGGAAGCGCGAGTCCGGGAGACGCGCTGGCGGTGACGCACTTCCGGCGCGCCTCCTGCCATGCCCTTGCGGTCCAGCACCAGCCGCTCACTGCGGGAGGTGAGTGCGTACTGGGAAGTTTCCGTCCCGAGCCCCAAGGTGGCGGTTCCGTGATTCCCGAGGCCTCTGGGAGGCCAACCCGGGAGGGAGTCGGGCGACGGCGTGGCTATCGAGGAGAGCGGGGCGGTTTGCGGGCTGTCCGCCCTTCCCCCGCATTCCTTCACCCGTCGCGGCGGCCACTTCAGGAAATGGGGGCTGAGGCTGTGGGCCGCCAGTAGAAGGTGTGGCCCCCTTGGGTGACCGACGCGCCGCAGTTCAGTCCGTTACCCCAATGAGCGTATGTTAAGTGCAGTGTAGTTCCGGTTCCGGGGATGCAGCAATGAGTAAGCCGCAGGAACTTTAAGGCTAACGGGGAAGTGAATATTAATCAATTCTGATTATATCTCTGCCCCTGCTCATAATAACCCCATTGATTTTGGGCAAAAGAACGTTCTGAACGTTCACGGGTCCCGCTTGGCCTGGCGTCTCGCAGCTTCTTCCTCTCGGTCTTGCAGCACAATCCCCTTGCCGCTGCTGCAGGCTTCTTGGCCTTGTACTTGTAAAACATGCCCCCGCCTTGGCCTAGTTAATTCCACTTCTCAAGTATTCCTCGACTAGGGCAATCCCCCTGCTTTCATTGACACTGTTAACCTCATCATGGGTTTTCCGACCACCATACACCTAGCGCATAACAAAAGTAACCTCACACTTAAATTTTAGTCCAAGATACAGGAGAACAAGAAGTTGTTTGAATCTCTAGTGCCAACCGTATTGCCGTGCACAGAGTATACCTCAATAAATACTGACTGAAAGGGCAGATATATTTCTAATTGCAGTTTAAGGCACTTGATAAAAGAATACATGCCCACCAGATCTGACTTAATTTGGATCTTCCAGGATATGACTTTCAAATTGAGGTCTGAAGGGGCGCCTGGGTGGCTCAGTCGTTAAGCGTCTGCCTTCCGCTGGGGTCATGATCCCAGAGTCCGGAGATCGAGCCCCGCGTCAGGCTCCCCGCTTAGCGGAAAGCCTGCTTCTCCCTCTCCCACTCCCCCTGCTTGTGTTCCCTCTCTCGCTGTCTCTCTCTCTGTCGAAAAATAGATAAAATCTTAAAAAAAAAAATTGAGGTCTGAAATTCTGAAAAGGAGTTAACAGGTTAAAAGGGGGGCAAGTTGGGAAAGGCTATTAGAGGCAGGGGAAATAGGTGCTAGGACGGAGTTGGGACCCAATCAGCCATTTAATACTTGTGTAATGACAATTCTTTTAATTCGAAAAGTAGTAGTATATTTCTAGTAAGCAAATTGGGGAAATAATTAAAATGTCACAAAGAAAAAAAAATCATCAATAAGACTACCATTCAGGGATACTGTTTTAAAATTTATATCCAGGGCGCCTGGGTGGCTCAGTTGGTTAAGCGACTGCCTTCGGCTCAGGTCATGATCCTGG